TTTCAGATGAATCAGACTGCAAATCAATAGCATAGCAAAGACCATAGCTATCCTAGGAACACTTGAGTAGTGCCCTCTTTTACCTTTTTCTATGTTGTCCTCTTCAGTTTGAGCAGGTATGGATGTTTCCTAGTGCCTTCTAGAATTTCTAGGTATATCATTGGTCTTGTTCGGATCGTCCATTACGTTTGCAGCTGTTCAAACTTGTATTGTTGTTTATTATTTTATTGATTTATTTATTTTTCTTGCCTTTCCTATCTTCTTGTGTTTTAGCATTAGGCGATTTGATCGCAGGACGAGAGAGGAGCTGATGGACGATCTCTCCAATGTTCCACTTGGTTCGGAGCGGCGCCGAGTGCTGACGTTGGGACTTGGGTAAGGATGAGTGTTCCCTCATGTTTACAAGTTATCCGTTTTGTCCAACACTAACGGTTATATGCAGAATACTGTTGAGTCAAAAATGTGCAACAATCAGCACAAAAACTGACTGATGAGATCATGACATTCAACGACCTGATGCTTAGCTGCATCACGTTTATACCCGTTAGTGTTGGAAAAAACGGATACCTTGTAAACTTATGGCCCTCTTTTTTAATTTTAATCCTTGGCTCTCCATCCCAGTTCCCTCATGTGTTGCTATTATTTTTATTTACTTATTTTTTTGCCCAGGGTCTACATTCTACATTTATTTTACTTAGACTAGGGTTAGCTGTCCGTTTACCAGTACTCATCCACACATATGTGCACATAGGGTCTACACAGAACTCTATCAGTAGATATTTTTGTAAAGGAGGTTGTCTATCCTCCGGGATAGCACTATATACTCCCATTCTGTGTGTTCTCTGGTAGCTATGTTCCTTGGAGACCATATGACTGTGCCAGTGTGGTGACCGAGGTGAGGTGTGTCTGCACTGGCATCGTCAACTTGCCTACTGCTACGTGCTCCCCAGTGCTCCATCTGTGTCTTGTACTTTATTTGGGGGGGGGGGAGGGGCAATACCGGTACTTCAGGTGCAGGGGGCAAGGGGGATGGGGTGGGGGACATCATGCCCCCAATGAACCTCTCCAGGCGTTCTGGAGTAGACTACAGTAAGATCGGGCGCCGAAGAACGCAGGGGCTCGAGCGCAGCCAAGGAAAGTTCTTAAATTTTTGATTCTAGCCAGACCGTTCTTATTCACACGCGGTACGCCCGCGGCGAGTCGGGTGACGTCATGACGTTTGTCATGTAAATGTACATGTACATGTACAGTCATGTAGATCTACATGTAGTGCAATGTAGTACTTCTAAACTACTTTAACTAGTGCCAGTAGTGGGTGTCGTAAATGGGAATGACTGTACATGTAGCAGTTACTGTTTACACGTGTACATGACATGTACTCACCTCCCATACATGTACAATGTAGATCTACGTGTAAATTTTTTAAAGTGTTCTTAAATCTGATAATTCTAGCCTGGACTGTTCTTAAATTTTGCCGGTTTTCCAGGCTGGGTGTTCTTCGGCGAGGTGTTCTTCGGCGCCCGATCTTACTGTAACCATAGGCGGAGTGTACACATGCAGCACATAGTTTGGGAATTAGAACGCGATCAGACTCGGGCATATTCAAAGGCAGTCTATTGTGATAGTAGTCCTGGACGGATCTCACTATGATGATATAGGTCGTGCCCAGCATCACAATGCCCAACATTATAAATGACTGTTTTTTTTTCCTGAGGGGCTAGATGAACATGTGGCTAGACTGCCGATGGCAACCAACAGGCTCAAGGCTGTGTTGAGACTTCGTGTTTGCGACCCGAGTCAATTGTTTACTCACCATGACTTGTAATCGAATTCCTTTCTACTAACTAAATTATTGGAATCTTTCGAAAAACTATGATGTCAAAACATCAGTACATTTAGAGAATTATTTGAACAAAATCGAAGGAGAAGATTGATTACTTTATAATGAACTGCAAATCATGCAATTCCATTACAGACTAGGCATCGCATCGGGCATCGCATGACCATTTTATATGTCACTGTTCTTAGTCGCACCGGGGGCGTATGCCCGTTTTCAGGAGACTTATCAAAACACATAAGCCCTGTGCCCTGAAGGTTAGGCCTATTGTTAGTCTGAATAGTCCTGGCTACTATCCCACTAAGTTCATTGACTTTCTACTGAACCTGTATGTACGTGAGGAAAGTACTGTTCTGGCCTGAACTACGGATTTCATCAACTTGGTAGAAGGTTTGCCTGTGCGGGACGATCATTTATTTTTAGTATAGATGTGACCAGCCTTTACACCAGCATCCCCAACGAGCTCGGTCACGTGGCATTGTCGTGGTATATCACACACAGGTATACAAGGTGGATGCCCCCGGCCCTTCGTACACGGTTAACAACAGCAGTGACTTCCTTGATGTCAGTCATTCGGAAGACTAACGGGTTCGTGTAAGATAACGATTTGTTTCCGCAGATCCAAGGGACTGCCATGGGTTCGCCTGCAGCAGTGGTCTATGCCGACCTTGTTATGCAGTATTTGGAGAATCGGTACATTTTGCCGATCTTAGAGGGGGAGGGTTTAGAGGTTCAGGTTTATAGACGCTTTATCAGTGACATTTTTGTTTCATTGCATGGTTGCGAAGGTCAAGTTCAGCGCGCTTTAGACAGGATTAATAAGTGTTCGGCCCTCGAGTTTGCGCATGAACTGGCACATGATGGCATTGATTTCCTGGACACCACAGTTTTCCGTAGTAAGGGATACATGGCGGTGAAGCCTCATTTCAAGGTCACTAATCGTTTCCTGTATCTGCTTGCCGGTAGTAACCACCCCCGTAGTATGGGTAAAGGTGTGATCACTGGGGAGTTGATCCGTATCCGTCGGTCTTCGACCCTTGACCACCACTACGAAGCTGCTGCCGAGCAGGCGAAGCAGACTTTCCGGGCCCGTGTATACAAGAGCTCCATCTTTCATCTTTCAGACCGTACACCAGGCATGCAAGGCCGGCACAGCTGGGGTGGCTGGGGCGGCCTTAGCCGCCCCACTTTTTGGCCGTTTTTTTTGTTCTTGTTTTTTTAGCACACTGCAACAAAGCGCGATGATCGCAGCTCAGCTCAAACGTGGCAAATAATGAAGAATCCTTGTGTATCAAGGTCAAGGTGTGTGTGTGTGTGTGTGTGTGTGTGTGTGTGTGTGTGTGTGTGTGCCTGTGTGTGTGTGTGTGCCTGTGTGTGTGTGTGTGCCTGTGTGTGTACGTGCCTGTGTGTGTACGTGCCTGTGACGTGTACAGCAGTGTGTGCACACCGCTAGCTAAACCGACCAACGGCTACTCCCAGGGCACAAACTATTCTGCTGGAGGCAGCGTCGTCTTCGGCTGAAATTCCGGATACAACCTGCAGGGAAGCATTGTGCGCATCTGCCAGATTGACGGTTCCTGGAGTGGGGCAGCTGCCTCATGTAATCGTAAGTTGAATTTCAAGAGAGCCGATATATCCCTCTTGTGTAGAGAAGCTTCAGGCTTGTAGGAAGGCAGATTCTGGTGGCGTTGATCTTTCCTATTTACAGAGCATGTAATAGTCTGGGTGTTACCTGCCACTTTTCATCATCACAAATGATGATCGTGCTTATCACAGGACCCAGGACCAGTCGGGCATCTCAGCCTGAGTCCTTAGGATATATGTTATACTTGTAGGTGTATGGTTAGTGTGTTTCACCGGGTAGAGGCGACGGTTTCAAATAGGACACAGGTTGCAAACCGGAACGGACTCAATATTCACTTTCTCTCTTGGTATTTTGATTAGAAAACATATGTCACAGTGAGACTACGATGTGTTATACTCCGAGCCAAAATTTCATGGCTCTGCGATGACCAGACGCGCCATACCAAGCAGGTGAGTTTTTGACGTGTTGCTTCGCACTGCGACTTGAGTTTTACGACTTTCGAAAAATCAACTTCTTGTCGCAGGTAAACAGCGGCTCGCCTCTTGCCAATAAAGCACCGCATACCAATCAAAACTAATGGAAGCACACACAAGGCTTATTGTTACTCTGTACTGGCTGTCGTGGAGCGATAGCAATTAGCTAATTTCAGACCCAAAGTGAATTTGACGTGCACTCTAAAACGTGTCCGGTTTGGAGCCACCTCTGATTTGAACTTTTTTGAAGCGAAAAATTGGGCAACTTGGAGGCAATGGGTCAACACAAAGGAGTGGCTCAGTTCGATTGACTCTGGCCCCAGAGCAAACTTCAACATGCCAGTTTCCTTCCACAAACATATTTCGAGTGAAAAATCAACGCTGATGATCGGTTTGGGTCTATACAAATTTGGCTGTCAAGGCGTTCCGGTATCGAACGTCTACTCTACCAGAACACTGAGTTGTTGGCATAAGCCGGTAACTTTTGTCGAGCCTGTTTTAGGCTACCACCTCCTCCAAATATGCTAATATCTCTTGACTGTACAAAAGATGTGCCGAGCAGACACTTTCTTCATCTCTTGACTGCTTTGTGTGTTGTGTGTATGGGTACGTGTATCCAGCCATTCAACTGCAGTGCCAGTCTGGCTACCTGCCCTGCCTGCGTTCCAGCCTGTGGCTGTATCCTGCCATCACAGCGCTGCGACGGTGTTTGGTACGACTGTGCTGATGGCTCTGATGCACAGTACTGCCCAGGCAAGGTCACACCAGCTCCAGGTAAGCACCAGCAGCAGCACTGATAGTAGTACCATGACTTCTATTATTATTACAGGGTGCGACAGAGCTCTCGGCCATTGAAGAAAATGTTGAGTCACCTCCACCACCACACTGCGCTCTTTAGCCGACTAGACCCTCCTGCACACAACCATCATCATTGCGAGGACACTTCCGTAGACGATATTGATAAACTCCTTCAGACAGCTGTTTCGCTAATACATAGCTCATCAGTGAAGGTAGATATTGAATGATTAAAAATATAGACCAAACTGCTATTATACAGGGGCGTCGGAAGGAGTTTAACATTGGTGCGGCTAAAGTGTGAGAGGGGGGTCCGGGGGTCCTCCCCGGGAAAATTTTTGAAAATTGGCCCTAAAAAGCCATATAGAATAATAAAAAGAATATGCATGCTGATGATACACCGCATTGTCGATGTAAAACATGGTACCTGTACAAGAGTCGACAAGCCACCAACAAGGTTGAAATGTAAAAAAATTCGAAAATTTATGGTGCGGCTTTGGCCGCACCTGCCGCACCGGTTCAGACGCCCCTGTTATATAGGGGGTTTCCACATACAAAACTGGCATAGCTGAGGTGATAACGCGGGAAAAGGAAAGTGTGAAGTACTGTTGACGCGCATTGGACATGCATGCAGCGTCGGATATTCGGCGCGGAAAATCAATCACTATTCAATGCAGAAATAACGTGCCAGAATCAGAGTACTATGTAGCTAGTAGTGAGAGTCTGTGTACTAGTATTGCAGTTGTCCGAGCGCCATGAAGGCCTGCGAACGCACCTCAAGACCCGCCGACGTCGACAGCCACAGCAGCCCCTGGGGCATGACACTGTACTGTTCGCCCGTCGCGCCAAGACGCTTGGCAGTCACTAGGCTTCATGCCACCGATGTTGTCCGCAAGCTACCTTGTTATCTGCCCATCACCCACTGCCGTTGACACGCTGGGAGGCCCCGCGGCATTCGCCCAGTATATCGTCGTCAGAGCTGTGTCGACGGTACAATAACGCTGGTAGAAACAAACAGTTGGTCGTATGATATTGCGTCCTCCGGATTGTCCCTTGACTCGTCTTGTCCCTCTTCTTGCTCTGACGCTAATGACTTCTATTACAAGCAAAATGTAGAGCTACTGTTGACCGCTATTCACTGCTGTATTTATTTTATTACTTTGCATGGCCATGTTGAGGCAGTCTTCGCATCAATTTCCTTTACACAATGCGTGTACTACAATGTATTCAAAACCAATGTCTGTGCCACGCACACATACGCAAACGTTTTAGGGATGAAACGAGTATATCGAATACTCGAGCGCTTGCTCGAAAATTCGAAAGGAGTGAGGACTCGTTTCGCAAAATACTCAAGTATCTTATGCACAGTGTACTGTATGCTTGTACATCAAGCACGTCTGTTACTCTGACCAGTACTGATAACCCATGCAAGTGTGAAATTATTACTTGTCCCTACTTACCAACAAAAGACGTAGTTCAGACTATTTCCTGCACTAGGCTGCATGCAAGACTACATGTGTCAGGTGTAATACGTTCAGTGTTACGAGAGTGTGTGCAGTACATTGTTTTATGTTGTCAGTAAAATACTCGTACTCGCTCGAATACTCGCTCGTTTTTTCAAAGAGTACTCGAGTCCTCAATTTTGGCACTCGTTTCACCCCAAGGCCAAACATGCATGCACTGAATGCCTGTGCTCTGTGCTCTGTGCACTCTGTGCTTGTGCAGGTCGAACCGACTGCCAGGTCCTGTCACCACCGGCACTGGGCTCAATGACCGTGAACGGCTTGATGTTCAGCAACACGACCACGTTTGTGTGCAGTCTCCCTATGTCCTTATGGGCTCGGCCGTGTGTACTTGTGAAATCAACGGCCAGTGGAGCGGTGTGCAGCCAACTTGCGTCCGTAAGTACATGTACCAATGCTCGACTGGCTTGTATTATGCATTCCCGTTCATCACACCGCTCATACTGTCAAATGCTGCCTCTTTTCATTCACAATGGCATGGGTCACAGTAGATAGGCCTGGTGCAGGTATTGCCAGTTCCTTGCTTGCTGCAGTACAGTATGACATATTAACTTAGCTGGTAAGCAGTGCATGTGTGCATGGCAAGTGTTAATTTTGTCCATTGCTTCCCAACCCATGTGTAGTGACGACTGCTGCTCTGAGTGCGGCCAGTGACGAGCTAGTCAAGGACTCCGTCTCAGAACGCATGACACAAACGTGTAAGCCTAGTATTGCTGCATAATTAAGAGCAATTTCTCCTACTGCTGACTGCTGAAAATGTTGTGTCCTTCACAACTAGTCTCTTTGTTCTAAGAAGTCTGCCTCTTTCATCGATTCGTGTTTACCTAGCTGCGTTACGCTATTAGTAGCCTATTACCTGTTGTGCAATGGGGCTGGCCTAGAAGCTGCTCGCTCAACAGTTGTGTTGCATGGCATAGAGGGAGATACGGCAAGCCACCTCGGCATATTTGCGGATAGAGCTTTTATTAGAAAGGAAAAGGACATATGGATACGAGTTAAGAGTAACTGTCCACCACTGTAACTAGCTACTACAGTAAAAAAATGCAACAACTAGGCACAAAACTGACAGAGTGCTGAGACATTCAACGACCTGACTCCTAGCTTCAACACATCTCCGTAGCGCTAACCAACAGCCTTCCAACTTGGAAGGTTCAAGGTTAAAAGGAGAGACCAAAGAGGGGAAGGTAAGCGCAACGAAAATGAGCACAAGCTAGTAGTTGAAGCTACAGTCCCACAAGAACAAGAAATGTTGATTGTTACTGGACGATGACGAAACCAGTATTACCTTTCCCTCTTTGGTCTCTCCTTAACACTACGGAGATGTGTTGAAGCCAGGAGTCGGGTCGTCAAATGTTTTAGTGCCTGGTTGTTGCACTTTCTGACTGTATTTAGTATATAGTGACAGTTACTCTACACTCATATCCATACGTCCTTTTCCTTAATTTTATTATTGCCATATTGGCTCAACACCCGAGTTTCAAAGAGCTTTTAGTGGACGACTTAATCCATTTTCGGCAATACTTACAACGATCCAATCAGTCATATTGTAGATCAGGCTATGCTGTGGGTAAGTATACTACTGGCCTTGTATGGCTTATTGTTTGCCAGCGAGTATTTAGCATCATCTACTAGTATTCACTCGTTTGACAGCCAAAGAGTATTTGTGTGGGAGGCTGGGAGTCTCGCACCTGACTTGGTCACGTTGCGCCTGAAGGTCACTAAGACGCGGCCATATACGGTGGAGCCGTCGCAGTTCCATCTACTGTCGACCAAACATGCCCGGTATTGGCTATTCCGGTACATGACAGCCCATGCCTGTAGCACCAAGCCTGTGTTGGCTTTTGCCAAAGGGATCCACCTTACTCGGCCTTATTTAAAATAAGATACTCTGTCACGCTCTCAACTGTTATCAGGTTAGCTCCTGCTCCATGCCCATTGTTGGAGCGACAGTCCTGGAATCCAGAGTTGCAAGTGAGGTGGTGATACGGCAAGCAGACGGTGGCAAAGTACGGCTTAAAAGCTCTACATCTGGCAAGTGGCCGGCATACCACCCCAATGGACATCGGAACAGTACACGTAGAGTAGCATCTCTACGTGACAGGGTATGAGCGCAAGTGAGTTCTTATGCTCTACTAATGTGCATTGATACTGTGACTATAGTTGCAGGGAATTTTCTAGAACCGCCCCAACCGGTTTTCGACCGGTTGAAATAGTTGGCGACCGGTTGAAAAGTTACAAATCAGTTCCAACCGCCCGTACTTTTCTGTGGGTGAATGGAGCTGTGAATGGTCATACGCTTTTTTCTGGATGGATACTTCCAGCGAAGCCGCGTGGGCTGGTACTAGGGTCACGAGTTTGTACGGTTTGTACGGTCGAACCACGTCATCGAGCTGTAGCAACGGCACACAGCTCCGCGCGACACTCCAGCACCAAGAAATCTGTTAAATTGCTGTCGAGTGCCATATTTGGGTTGTATTTTGAAAACTATTTCCGGAGGGGTACCCCCCGACTCTTCATTGTACCGTAACCGGTTGGAAATTCGTCCTAGAATATACCCTGACTGTTGGTGTACAGATCTCATCACATGAGCCTTAGGCGGGATTTTCTATTGTCACTGGAAAATTCAGCCCTAACAAACAGTGTGATGGATGAATTTGACTCCAGGTATCTGCTTTTGGGAATGCCATGTATGCATGTCTGGCGTGCTGCTGCTATAATGTTGTGGCAGCAGCATTTTGGTGCGATGGACTGTTCTTGTAACGGTGTACCTACCCATTTGTTGTTGCCGGATGCCGTGTTTTGTCACTTTTGCCTGTTTGAAGGTGCCAGGCCAGCTTGTGTTGGTGCGTTCCCGTTAAGTTGCCAGGGCACCATATTTGTAACGGCGTTCCCGTTTTGCTGTTGTGGGGCTGTGTTTGTATCGGTGTGTTCCCGTTGAAGTTGACGGGGCACCACGTTAGTGGATTGTGCCTGTTTGAAGTTGCCAGGCCAATCCTGTAACGCACACCCGTTTGCTGATAATTGGGGACATGTTTGTCCATTTTGCTCGAGATTCACATGGCTGCGCCAGTTGCCTTGTGCGGATTAGACTGTTATCTGGCACTAGTCTTGATCTGTTTTATTCAGATTCAGATCAGCTATTGTTCCTATACGAGAAAATCTGTGGGTGCACATCCAATTCATTTGCAGATTTGCGTGCTTCTCCTGCAACGGGCGTTTACATGGTACATGGTGTGTGGGCGTATGTGTGGTGTGTTCATGCTGTACAGGCCAGTATTGCCAAGCACTGGGGACCTTTGGCAATCTGAAGAATGTTTTGTCCGAGAATCGATCCTTGGATCTGTGGCGTTGCAGTTGTGGTGCTCCCGACCCTCTTGCGCGATGGCCGCGGAGACCTAGCGAAAAGGTTCGAGACATACGGCATCTCAATATCTTCCACCACAATCAGTACATCAGCACCACCATCGAGTGTAGCGACATCAGCAATAGAAGACGCACATGATATCATCCACCCTTACGGCCTTAGCGAAGACCCGGGAATACCTGAGAAGATGTTAGCCGCAACTTTACTGGAAAAGTCGTCGGTGACAACGGCACTCCATATTTTAGCTGCATGCAGTTAGGTCTCTCAACAAGTGTACCCAAAGTTTTCAAGCTAATACACAAGCAAATTCACTAGGGGCCGAGTATATTTTCCTACACCTCTCCCTGTTTGTTGTTGTTATTTCTGCATTCAAATTGTTTGTGTACCTGTACATTTATTACAGTAGAGCCACGCATCCACAGCTGTTGTTTCCAAGGGGTCAGGCTCGTCAGTTATACAAAACCTTTCAGCAATCTGGCCTTAGGCTTAGTTCCTTGACTTCTTGTACCACTTTCTTAGATGCACATCCCACTGGATAGTGAGCAATACGTGTGTAGCAGAATCTGTATTCCAGAAAAGCAGAGACTCGAGTCTATTGACACTGCGTTTCTTTTTAAAACGTTATTGGCTGTGGTGTACCTAGAGGTAAAAAAAGTTTTAAAAAAAGTAAATTATCGTATCCGTTCCCGAAGGGAACTCACGACGGCCGCTAACACCCGATAAACCCTAGCGGCAGATGCAGCGCCTAACGGTGGGGGTGAGTGGGCAAGTCTCACAACCACTGGCACAAGTGCCGAAAACGACCCCATTAGCTGCATCCATGTACCCCTTGTGCCTGGCCACAAGTTCCCAGTTCCCAGTTGACTGTGGGTAGCAGCACGGCTGGAAAAACCGCTCCCAGGCAGGACTTGAACCAGGTACCTCTCGTATCTCAATCATGGTCTTTGACCAACCCACTATGCCTGCCTGTACCTAGAGGTATACACGTACATTCCTGGGTCCCACGTTCTGTGACGCCCGACTGTATTCGTGGTGCCTCAACAACTTTTAATTTTGTGCGCTCGGGAAAACCTGCCGGAGGCTGTGAGGCTGCAGAGTGTTGGCTGTGTTTTGCTTTAAAAAACCATCAGGTCTCCCCAGATTTTCTAGTCTGGCCCTGAATTTTGCCACTCTTCGGTTTCAAAACCTAGTGTGGTGGTGGAAAGCCTAGCAGTGTTGTGTGTGCATGTGTGTATTTTGTACAGTGCTGGCCAGAGAAATCCAACCTCGTTAATAAAGTAGCGCCGCGTTCGAGAGCACAGACCGGTCCAGTATGTTTACTACTAGGGCTGCATAGCGCCCGGTGCAATTTTATTCATAAGGTTGGATTTCTTTGGCCAGCACTGTAGTTAGAAGTAGGTCCTCTAAGGTCCTCTGTTTGTGCGCAATTGTGGTCACAGTGGCAGTAGTGGATGAGGGGTAGACTCAGTTACTACGAAGATGGTGTATACATGATGGTGTATACAGTCATGTAGTTGAATGTTACTTCGGGCTTAGACCCAGAGGTTCTTGAAATGATGACCCCGCGTTTATGTACATGTATCATTCAGCTACCGTTGTCATAATGGCACTAGTTGATAGAACACCTGTATAAGTACAGGCTGTACATCTAGCATTTTCCAAAATAGCACTCCGTACTTCGAGGCTGCAGCCGTTTTGCATGCAACGCTGTATGTGTTGATCGGTTGACAGCATGTGACAAAGCCGAGGACATACTAGTGTATCAGGAGCACTGTTTTTTAACACAGTGCGTCCCCCGCCTTGTCATGTTAATTTATCAAACAAGGCTTACCTATACCAACATTATACATGTAGGGCTGTGCATGCTTTCAAAATTCTTCCTTGTTGAAGTAGAATACCGTGCTTGTGGGGGCTTTAGTAGTTCCTTTGCCAGATGTTCTATGCGTATCTCAATGACTTATCAGTTTCAGCACTTGGGCAAGGCACATTCGGGCCTACACATGTAGCCTTGAATTCTGGCTTGGAGGCATTATTTATCTATTTTCATGGCTGCTAGGTTCATCCTTAGTTAAGAGTTATTTCTCCGTGATTCGCTAATGAGTCCACAAAGGACGAAACAGCTAGACAGTACTAGTGCTGTCCCCAGATCGTGTATTCTAAATCCATAATACTGACGCTCAATCTCCAGACAGCTGTTTCAGCCTTTTTTAGGTCCCATCAGTGGAGCTCATAGCGGGAGGTTAAACAAATGGCAATACGGTCTATATGAAATGAACAAAAAAAGCAATTTGAAAATGGCTCAAAGCATCAAAGTCAGCGAGCTATCTGCAAGACACGCACAAAGAGAGCTTTGCACGAAGGCAGATACATATTACATATACCTTTGACACTAACCAAAAAGAGTGCTCAATCAAGTCAACGCAAGGCAGCGTAATGTGGTGATCGAGTCTATAAAAAGCTATAGTGACATGTAGCCAGGCCCCCAGCACAATAAGGTGACTTGCATCATGCTAAAATCGTTCACACAAATCTCTTATAATAATTATTATATAGATTGCAGGATAGGGTGGTTGCACCAGGAAGTGCTGTCTCTGCGATAGTGGGACCAGCCAAGATTGCAGTACAGTCGTCCACCATCAATCCAGCACTTCATTGGCCCACGCCCTCGATACACCAGCATGATTTCCGGAGTTATTACCATTCATTGATACATGCCCCCCCCCCCCACCCCCCAGTTCTTCGGCACCTGACCCGAGTTCTATTTGGGCCGCACTACTTTGTAGCAGTCATACTATAGTACTAGAACTGGATGCACGTGATATCCACTGGAGCTGGCGCTGGCCATGAGCTGACCCACCGCCGTGCCTCCCAGTGTCAATTTTGCTTATGTGATCCTACCACAATCTGGAACATTATCAGTACTCGCCTCTGTTGACTTGCCAGCACTAGTTCTGGTGGATCCGGGCATGTTTCTGCCTTCTCTTAAGCATGTATTCTCCTGCAGGTGCATCTTTCACCTCCTTCTAATGCGCGAGCACATTTTCTGTGGAGATTCAACGACACATAGACCAGAAAATACAGAACGGAACAGTGGCTGCCAATGCGACACAAGTACCACATAGACCTAAAAACTCATAAGTACCCTGGGAGTTAGATGCATTTACGGGAAGTATGCCAGGATTTGCGCAGCTAATTTAAAATCAGATTAGCAATGCTGTGTGCTACCTAGGTGGCATCTTGGACTCAAAAACCAACCGATTGTGGTCCAACCCAACCGACAGCGTTGTCGGTGGGTTCCGATTGGCAGGTGTTGGATGGACGTATGATCCATGCATCCCCACAAGCAATGAGAAGTTAACAATGCCACTAAGGATATAATATCGCGGACAGCAGTACAATGAAACTGGGCCATTCATTATCAGCAATATCAGGGGTATATCCCATCCGATAAGACGTACAGCTCGTGTATGGCAGACTTTACAGCAGGTCCCGACATAGCTTGCCCCGTGCCCTTTACCACTCCTGGGCCAAAACTGTTGTACAATACTCGAGAGGGTCTAGCCTAGTGAGTGTGAATAGAACCTGGCAAACCATATCTCCAAGTGATTCACATGTTGGTATATTCTCCGTTATCATACATCAATTCCGAGCAATTTGACACCCGAATATTCTCGCACCACTACTGCTGAAGTATTGACCACAAACCATGTTCCATTTGACTTACAAAAGGAACTTGCAAAAGGCATGAGAGCACTGGAATCCGTAAAGACTCTCGCATTATTTATTAGCCACCATACATACCTTTCGGGAAGTCGTGTTGGAAGCAGCATGCTCGGAGAGCAGAGCTGAGTGAGATCTGCATACAGTAACACCGCGACAATGAACCACATGAACAGAAGGAAGCAGTCGTATCCGTACACATCTGAATATGCGCTTATGGGAGGAAAATCCGTGCGACAAAAGAGGACCGTGTTATGCAGGTGTATGTCTTACCCGGGTACGTACTAAGTGAGTTCCACCATACGTATATAATTTTATTGCAATTGAATCACTTGACTGACTGGAGCCAAAAATATCAATTGGCACTTACTCCGGTTACCCGAATGTTTCGGTACCACTATCATTAGGTTTTTTGCAATCGAACCAAGTCATAGTTGAGTCATTTTCAATGAGTTAGGTGTTACCTGACGTGCTCACTGCATCAGCCGCTATGTCAGATTCCACCAGGCATGCACCAAACCAGGCGCAATGCGCACACTGATGATGGTGGTTGGCACACAACGAGCAGTAGTAAAAGTGAAAGGACTTTTTGCATGTGATTTTGTTGTAATTTGTGCCAGTCGAATTGTCTCAGTGTAACTAGTTTATCGTTAGCTTCCTAGTTTGTTTATACAAAAGAGAAAGACCAAGGAGCTACAAGTTACGCTATACTGTCCACTAACACCACCAGTTACTAAACAATCAGCTCATGCGATAGCTATTGCACGACACTGAACAGCTCTAGCACATCTTGGATGCGCACTCCAACAGCCTTGTGGACGACGACCGTCACTGGAGAATCGGTCCGTCGCTCCACCAGCCCGGCGGCACAGTGGACAGTGCCTTGGGGGTGTCAGGCATGGATCAGGCTGATAAGGACGTGGTGGAGACGGAAATGATGTTTGCAAGGAAGAGTGATGATATGCGTATGTGCTCTCCGCCAGTTGTTGAAGCAACAGTCCGGCAGTGGAAAGTCAGCAAGGTTAAAATAAGTGACCAACTGGGTGAAAGTACACCAAATGTGGCCCATCTCTTGAATGGTGCGGACCACGGCAAGGACCTGAAGTTGAAGGGCGTCAATGGCAACACCGCATGGTCGACGTCAATGGGAACATCAAGCCATCAAGTTGGTGGAACTATGGAATGTCCGTCGCAGGCTGCAGCGACAGGGTAACGTGCTCAGGGAAGAGTACAGCGACGATGATCAGCTGTGTCTTGCACGCAGTCGTGTTGATCGTGGCGTGCAGAACAACAGAGTCAGTTGCGGTATTCGTACATTTGTCTGTTTAGGATTGTGATCCCCAGGAAGTCCTTTGGTGAGGAGTGATGTCACGCAACGAGCAGTAGTCAAAGTGAAAGGACTTCTTGCATGTGATTTTGTTGTAATTTTGTAAGGTGTGGTGGCAGAACTTTCAGCTGGTAGTGGGTGATGGGCTGTCTGTGTGACAACAATTACGGGCTTGACGAACGACATAATTATGGCGAGTCGATCTTTGGCCAGTTGCTGAGTTGGAGATCGTCACCGTAGACCCAGAGATCTGGTCCACGGTCCAGGGGTTGGGATCCCACTGTGGTGAGAGCTTGTGTGCCTGCTCATTGCGGCGTAAGACGCGCTGACCAGGAGTGAGGATGGGGGCGTTTGACCGGCGGGTGGCATTGGCAGCGTCGCACTGGGATTGGCGGAATTGCTGGTCACGGTGGGCAGCTGAAGGCAAGTCTGGTGCAGCTACCGTAATGCAGGGTATGGTGTCGCGGATGGGGCGACCAAACATGAGTGTTGCCGGTGCCTCGTGAGTGGCAGGGTGTGGCGTGGTGCGGTA